TGTATGTATGTATGTATGTATGTATGTATGTATGTATGTATGTATGTATGTATGTATGTATGTATGTATGTATGTATGTATGTATGTATGTATGTATGTATGTATGTATGTATGTATGTATGTCTGTATGTCTGTATGTCTGTATGAATGTATGTCTGTATGAATGTATGTCTGTGTGTCTGTGTGTCTGTGTGTGTCTGTGTGTGTCTGTGTGTGTCTGTGTGTGTCTGTGTGTGTCTGTGTGTGTCTGTGTGTGTCTATGTGTCTGTCTATGTGTGTGTGTGTGTGTGTGTGCCGCGCGCGCATACATGCATGCACAATAACAGCTTTGCCCTCAAGATCAATCAGCTTATAGTAGCAGCAGTGGTAGTAGTAACAGAACAGTAGTAGTTGTTGTGGTGGTTGTTCGGGTGGTCAAAACTTCTGGCTGGTAAAGTGATGGAATTTTTCTGTCGAGGCACAATTAAGGATGCTAACATAAATAGTGGCTACAGTACTAGCCATGCGGCTTCACTGGTTCACGACCCCCTGTCTACATCTTTCTAGAGAGGTGCTAAAACATGCAGTAGTGACAGTTTATTTTTTTTTTTTTATAGTTGTTGATTTGCTGGTGGTGGTAGTAGAAGCACTGGTACTCGGTGGGTGATGTAAATATTTCACTAGCCACGTGTACTTTGAATTACATTTCCTGCTACCCAAAGTAAACTTTTTTTTAAAAGTGTCTGATGAACTTCAAATCATGTGGAGAGGAAGAGATGAGTAGTCGGCGGGAAGGGGGGTGTGATGACAGAAAATGTTAACTGGAAGAGCTTTAAAAAATGGTTTTACAGGTTTTTAAAAAAAATATTTATATTTTAATAATGCTACCTCAGCTATTCTTATTGTGTGGCGTGTGTATGTGTGTGTGTGTGTGTGAAAATGTGTGTGTGTGTGTGTGTGTTTATGTGTTTATGTGTGTACGTGTGTTTGTAAATTTGCTGGTTTGTTTAGCCCTACAGCAGTAAACTTTACCTTCAGCTCTAAAACAAAAAATACAAAAACGCGTTCGGATGTAATAAACAAATAACAATTCTTTGTAAGTCCCAATAATACACTTGACATGACCACTTTTATATGTAACATGTCCTAGAGTCAGCAAACCAGACTTTCTCTATGTTTGCGCAGACAATGGTTGTGAAATATATTAGACACTTGCGCTTTCTATTTTTTTTTTCATTTAACCACACTTAGTTACAGCAAGGCATGGCTCGGTACAGCGAGTTATTTTATAATACAAGAAACTACATTGCAGATATAGATAATCAACATAAAACGAACGACAGAAAGAGAAAGGAAAAAATTAATAAATTAATAATTATATGCAAAGAAAATGTCGAAATTCGTGAGTCACGATCAGTTTTGGATTTTAGTGTTGCCACTTTGAATGTTTTACATTCAGATCTAGATGTTTATCCTTGCATTTAGATGGTGTTTTTGGCGTCTAGCTTGTAGATGTATTTCTAGATGATTTTTATTTTGCGATACGTATTTTATAGATTTTTTTTTTTTTTATTCGATGTCAGTATAATAATTATGTATGAAAATTTTATTACACATTTTTTGATTTGGTCTTAGCACGTACTCTGTAATAACTGCGATTACTTAAACTTTGTACTCACTCGGGTCAACGCTAAACAATCTGGAAGCCCCGATACTGATTGAGAGCGCGCGTAAGTTATACTAACTTTGTTTGAACTGTATCCTCGCTATGTTGTGAATTAGAGCTGTGATGCTGACCTTGTAGTTCATTTAATGGTTTTAAAAAAAATTGCTTACCTTTATAAATGTCTTCCTCTTTGAAAAACCATTTTACTTGCCAAAAGTAAAGCAGTAAAAGCAACAATTTCGGAAAGAGGGGTTGTATGATGACATAATTAAAGACTGTGTGATGGCAGTTTCTGGGGATACGACTAAGCTCGTTATAGGTACTACAAGTGTTAAATTAACGCGAAAACACAAGACTTAAAGAGTCATGCAGGTATTAAAAAGCATAAAACTGCGGTTCCATTAAAAAATATTACACCACTGACATCTGTTTTCAGAACTACACCGATTAACAAATCATCAAAAGTTGAAGGATCTGTCACAATGTCTTTAATTTGTCATTGTGCAATTTTGAATTGTGACCATTTGATTCATCAGTTCTCGTTATGCCTATTGGCACATGAGGCTTCAGAGAGGACTTTCCATGCTTTCCTGTCCTGCGCAATCTTCAGTGCAGTTTTCCATGTCAAAGATGCCGCACTCAGGTCACTTTCCATCGTTCGTCTCCATGTTTTTTTTTTTTTTTTGGGGGGGGGGGGGGGGGGGGGGGGGCGCCCCTGTTTTCTCTTTCCCTCTGGTGTCTATGTGAGAGCTGTTTTGGCGGTTATATCAGGATTCATTCTCTTAACCTGGCCAAGCCATATCCATCTTCTCTTGTTTATCATACTGACTAAAGTTTCTTGGTTTGTGCCTTGAAGTAGTTTAGTATTTAAGATTGTATCTGGCCACAAAATTTTGATAATTCTACGTAGACATGTGTGGTGGAAGGTGGACAGCTTGTGTGCATCTTTTTTGGTCATTCTCCAGCATTCCGCTCCATAAAGAAGAACTGGCAAAATGATGCTCTTCTAGAGGCCATTTGATTGATTTGTTTAAAAACACTTTTTCTAACAGTAAAGTTACTGGTGACGTAAAAATGCATCGCAGCAAGTGTACACATATTATGAGAAATACTTTATTTTCTCACTTTGAATAGGATTCGATCTGTGATATTTCTACATATAAATAAAGTTTATTATTAGACGAATCGAATGACATTTCTGCACTGAAAGTGCTTGTTGTGAGTATTAAATATTACAGCAACAGTAAAGACAAAGTAGCTCCCACATATCTTGGACTAGTCCGATTGCAAAAGTGTGATGCAGATAGTATAGTTTAGGAACTGAAGAAACTTTTGATCAACAAACAATTACACTCGAATAATTTGGCTGCAATAGGTACCGATAATGCCTCTATAATTTTGCATCAACAATGGCGTCTATGTCAAAATGAAGGAAGATACCCCATCTTTAATCCTTTTTAAATGTGTATGTCATTGCTTGCAGCTAGCACTATCACATGCTTCATCTGAATGTTTACCAGGGAATTTGGAATACCTTATTGCTGAAACACATTACTTTTTTTTTTAATGCAACAACTTATATAAATCATTAAATTATGGTTTCGCACCACTGAAAATTCTGTCAGATTGCAAAACTAGATGCTTATCAATTCAACCAGCAGTTGAGAGAATTGTGAACCAATGGTTGGAGCTGAAGACACACATCGAAATAACAAGACGAAGTGAAAGTGCAACACAGCTGAAATACTTTATGGAATGTAAAAGTAAGTAGAGAACCCTTTTACACGGCTTTAGGTGTATAGGGTACATAAGGCTAGACCTATATTTTATAGACCAATCGGCACAAGATGGGTGATGTGGTCAGCCTCTACTTCCCGGAAATGCACCTGGTTCCCACTCAAGACTGGGTCGACCTGGGAGTCAAGGTCATTTTGAATAAGGCAGGCTCCGCTAGGGAGCGAACCCACGACCTTTCCATCCGCGGCTAGCGTCCAGCCATTCCGCCACGGCGACTCCCAAATGGAATTTACAGTTATGAAAAAAAAAATGTGCATGTTTTTTTTTTCTTTTTACAACCTATTCTTATAGAAGTGCAAACAAATAACAGGCTGTTCGAATCTAAACATGTTGATAAAGTTAAATTACTTGACGATCACACTTTGCTATTTTACTTCTAAAGCTGATTTGCTCACTTGCACTATAGAGAGGTATTTGGCTCCTAAGCCATACCTTGGATATCAAAAAGAATCACAAATTGATGATTTAAAAACAAAAAGACTGTTAACAGAAAATAAAGAGAACAACTTAAGAAAGCGCTGTCAAGATTTCCTTATCTCCTTATTTAAGAAATTGAAGCAGGGACTTCTTGAAAATCTAAATGTATTGAAAAAATATTTCACTCTTTTCTGTTAGCTACATACTTCAACCAGTTACGGACATACCTAAATATTGTAAAGTTATGACATTGTTATGAGCTACTGATAATGGTGTGTCGGAAGCAGAATATCAATTAACAAAAACAAAACAAAAATAATTAGTTGACTGGACAAACAAAACAGAAACAAGCGTTTGGAGCGAAGTGAGACAATTTAAAGATGCCTCAGGAAACAGTCCATTCTGTAAGCTCTTTGAATGTGCCATGTCTGTCACGACACTATCCTATTTAAATACTGACGTAAAAAGTGTTTCAGCGCTATGAACTATATCAAATCTGACCGAAGAAACAGTATTGGATTGGATTGGCTTTTTACCCCACCAGGACATCACACAAGCGATAAACACCCGATGACACAAAGTGCCACCATGCGGATGAGGATCACCGTGGAGAGGTCCCAGAAACCGCGTTCAGACATTTGGCCATAATGATGACCTGCCTATATTGCGGCCCCTGGCAAAAGCCAGAGTGGGGCTTCAAATAACAAAAAATAACGTCCTAAGAAGGACGTAAGAAGTATATATAATAAGAAACAGTATGAAACTTTACCTCTTAAATACTATCTTGACAGTAAAATGTGGTCTGATGAAAGTAGGCAAATGCTGTTAAACTTATCAGCTCCCTGATTGTGTATTAAAAGAAATTGGAACAGCTGAAGCATACGTCATTTTGAATCTGAAGTTTCAACTTCATCATCCAAGCTAAATTTATCCTGTGGATCTTGTGAGACAGACATCAGTGAAAATGAGTACATGATTCTATGGGGATCAATCAACAGCTATGTAATTTGTGACTGTTTCATTTGGATTTTTTTCTAGATGTTATCCGAGCAAATCTAGATATTTCTAGATTTCCCCCCTCCATTTCTAGATATATTATCTGTCAAAGAATAGTGGCAACACTGATTCTACTGTATTCAACATGGCGTCGCCATACAAGTTACGGTGCAATCTAGTAGGGCATGAAAAAGATGTCCGTGCTCTTGTTACATCAATCTTTCCCGAGAATGGTCTCATATCAGGTTCTCGGGACAATACTGCTTGTCTCTGGGTTGAAAATGAGTACGTTCTGATATAGCAGTCATTACTAATTACACAGTCCCCCCAGATAATGATAATACCAATTCAACATTCTCATTCATGTTATTTTTTGCCCGTCATTTCATTTCATTATTTTATTTCATTCGATGTTGAATGTTGAGTGAAGTTTTCCTTACTGCGACAAAATAATCAGATTAATTAAACTATATATATATATATAATAGACCTCAGTGTCCCATTCTCCTGTGTGACTAAGACAACATTACTTTTAATATTTGTCATTACTTGAATATTTTTTTGTCAGTAACACTTATCTAATGATTGGCTATCCTCCGAATAACGGCCACAAAAACTCTGACAGGGCCTCATTAGTTCATGTGTTGTGAGGAATGAAGAAAAAGGGAAATTATGAAATTGACTTAGTGATATTTGAGGCCTTTATATCTAAAAATTGTGGCACAGAAATTGCAAATAGTGCCCGAAAATCTGATCTTTGGGGCTGTGGCACCATTGAAACTCATCTAAATATGATCGAAACAAGGCGCTGCTAGTGCCGCATTGGTAAAGCAGTTTTCACCGCCGAGAGTATCCCCTGCGTCGCTATGTGTGGCGCGGAGGGCGGCTAAACTAGATGGCTGGGACTCAAGCAAATAAAACAAAGAAGCTGCACTATGCGGTAGCTGCTGCTCGTATGCCCCAGCCATCTAGTCAAGCCCCCACCCACCGCCTCTGTGCCGCGGGGGGAAACTCGGCGGCGAGTTTAACTTGGCAGTTTATTGCGTTTCAGACATCATCGCCAGAAAATATCACTTTTGCTGCGGTATATTCGCCAGAAAAAGTCCGCAATTTACGAGTGATTGAGGCCCTGCCAGTGTGTTTTGTTTAGCTGCCAGAATATGTGGCTGTTATTTGGAGGATAGCCCAGTGATTTGTATATAATAGTATATACATATTGACAAATATGCTGTTAATTATTAACTGCATATTTGTCAGTGTGTATATATAAATCATTGGATATTTGCCAGTAATTACATATTTATCAGTTACTGCATATTTATTGGTTGTTACATATTTATTCATTATTTATTATTAATAGTTGCATATTTATCATAAATTGCATATTTGGCTATTGGCGAACTCCCCCCCCCCCCCCCACCCTTTTTTCCCCTCCCACCCTGCCTCCCCTCCTCCCTCTAAATAAAAATTCATGACTAGACAATAAATAGAATGTAACAATTTTAACTTTAATAATCTTGAAACATTTAGAACCATAACTTAGTAATCTTGGAACATACAAAACCATAACACTCAGTTATGCTGATACATATTCATATATACATGCTGATATATTCTGTGCATTTGACTATTTTTTGTTTAAGCTTTCAAGTTTTCAAGTTTTAGTTGAAAAAAAAGGACCAGTTTCTGAGAATATATATAGGAGAAAGTGCTAACATTTTGATGGCATTGGGTATGAAGACATCAGCATTGGAATAATTTCTCTAGGTTTATGAATGTTCCTAGATAGGAACAAAATTGTTTCGTTATGTTTACAAAACAGTTTATTTCTTTTTACCATGAGTAAATAATGTGACTGATCAGCCATCTAATTACCACAACTGAATTCTTTGTATCAGAAATGACAACTTAACTCTTTCATATAAAAATCCTACCATTTATTCATTCCAAAGATAATATGCAATGTTTGAGCTGTCTTAAACAACAGTTTTCATATCCCCTCTTTGTATCTGAATCATTAGTTTCACTACTACTCTCTCATAGTATCTTTGTTGAACCCCTTCAACCGAAGTATTTACAGCTTTTAAACGCAAACCTTTGGAATAGAAGGAGTTAAGTTAAAAATCTCTAGGGACTGAAAGAGGTAATAAATAAGAATAACCAAGCAACCTTGGAGAATTTTGTCTGGCTTGTAATATTGACACCTAAATAAAGTAAAGAATAGCAGCACCATAAACAACTATGTACGCTATACGAGACAAGCAGGGTGAACTCGCTACCTCAGACTGTACATAACAAGTGAAGCTACAAATTAGCCAGCCAAGCACAAGTCTGAAGTACACTTTGGCTTGAATTGGTTGAAGGTTTGTACTTCACTGGGAGTCACCTAGACACTTGCATGTGGATCCGAAGGTCGTGGGCTCAAATCCAAATGGAGTTAACTTTAAAAACAAAAATGACCTTAGCTCCTAGGTTCCCTAGCCTTAAATGGGTACCAAGTAAAGGGGGCTGGGGTGATGTTTACACCACCCACCAAGTGCCCATTGGTCTGTAAAATATAGGTCTAGCAGTATATGCTCAGTAAGCCTAAAAGTGGAAAGGGGTCCTTTTTACTTCAAGAAAAGGCAGAATAAAAGTTTCTAATTTTAAATGCTTTTCCAGTTTTTCATTCTCTTGGTTTGTCAATAGTGGGAACAGACTATTGTTTCACTGTAGGATGCCACTAAGTAGTATTGTCACAGATAACAGTTACTTGCTTATGCTTTTAGAGGACATTGAAACCAAGCCCAGCAGTCTTTGGCTGTTTGTGGTTTTACTAAGCAGTTTTTACATTTGCCATTACTTACTGAACGGTCAGCTTTGGTACAGTGGTAACCTGGTATACATCCTTAATACATTCCAGACATATACCAGACAGCCTGTATACCAAATGAAATTTCCATAAGAAGTAAAGAGAGAATGATTAATCCGCTCCCATGAGATAAACATTGTGTTGCTATTGGCATTTTATTCATTGATGGGGGGTTGTATAAAATAAACAGACCTTTTCCTCAGTCAGAATTTTTATCAGGACTGGCTGCAACCTGCAGAAAACATTAGCTGACAATCCAACCTGTCAGTTGAAAAAGAAAACATAGAAGTTTATCTTTTTAAAACCAGTTACAAAAGGTTGGGAGCCTCAGTACCACAACACAAGCTAGTTGCTTGCCTACCAGTCTGCAGTTGGATGTATTTTTATAATTAACCTAGGGCCACCAATTCCGCCAGCATACGATTGGTACCAGGAAATGTCCTGGAAAGTAAAGAAGGTGTCCAGTGTAATGTTGACCACATCAATCATCAAGTGATAATGGGTCTATAATACATTGGGTTTAGCATCATATGTCTGGTGCTCTAATGGCATGCAGAGTGTCTTTACTTTTACTTTTCTAACAATAGGTTGGACATACTCATACCTTTGAGCTGTATGTCTAGTATAAGAATGTAACGGTACGTAGACTTTGGTGTAAAATACTGAGGATTTTCCCCTTTTTTATTCCATGTCAATTTGTAGGGCAGACAACAGCTACCACAGGGAACTAGTTATGCGGGGACATTCTAACTTTGTCTCCAGTATCTGTGTTATACCACCGGATGATACATACCCCCAAGGTCTGATAGCTACTGGAAGCAATGACAAGAGCATTCTTGCATACATCCCTGGTGTTCCAGATCCTGTCTTCAAGCTCACCGGACATGAAGGAAATGGTAGTGCCTCTTGCTTGTTCACCATTGTTATTTCTTTCTTTCCTAAATAAATTTTTATTCATTATTTTTAATGCAGACAATAGTTGTTTTGAAGCTGCAAGAGATACAGTTTTACAGAAAAAGGACATAAACAACATTGACAGATTACAAATGTTATGATGTCATCTTGAAAGAAATTAACTGTCAAAGAAAACTGGTTACCTGCATCTGATGATACATTCTGCATTGTTCAGGCTTGTCATGATAAGGGGAAAATTGAGTACTTTGTGATATCAGGAAAGTTAAAGGGGAAGAGACGCTAAGAGAGCTAATTTTGCACAGTTTGTGATGAGGACATGGAATAAAAACTATCTGAAGTGACTTGTAGTATACAAGAAAGAAGGCTGTGGATAGACATGAAGGTACAGTGCGACATGTTATGGCTGGAACAAGAAGTTGCTTATGTGCATGTCCTCTAAGGCTGCAGTTTGTTATAAAGGAATACTTTCTTTGCAAACAACTGCCTCCTTATGGTAACCAATCTTCTGCCATAAACTGTGTAAAGAGAATCTCAAGACATTGCACCATCCCCGTAACTGTTATGAGGGTCACATTGATGCTACCATTGAGGTAAAAAGTGTATGAGTTCTGGTACATATTTTACCATGTTTTGTAGCAGCTACTTGCAACAATTGGAGAAACAGATTCATTAACATAAAGAATATAACAGTATAAAATGCAACAATTTCCTTTGAATTATTTACAATAATGAAACTGGGACTTGTTATTTGTTTGCAGTTTGCGCCCTGGCGTCTGGAAAATTTGGATTTTTACTAAGTGGCTCATGGGATACAACTGCTCGGGTGTGGCTGAATCAGAAATGTGTGATGGTGCTTGAAGGTAGCTTTCAGTGTCAGATGAGCACATTTGTTATCATTACATTTATTGCCCTGCTTCATGTGGGATAGTTTCTACTTTGTCTCTGATGTTGTTGCTTTATGTTTATTCATTGTCCCTAACTGCATCTTTATGCCAGTAGTGCTGTCATGCTGAATGGACAAATAGAAAGCAGGTTCTGAACAACAGTAGGAGTGAGTTCATCAGGGCTGCCTCCTCTTCCTAATACTGTTTAATATCTTTATAGAAAAAATTATGACTGACGCCCTAGAACAACATAAAGGTGGACAGCTAGTATAGGAGGTTGAACTATAACAAACTTGAGGTTTGCATATGGCATCAATGGGTTGGCCAGGGAAGAACAAGAGCTAGTCAAGCTTCTAAATCTGCTGATAAAACATCGACCAAGTATGGTATGGAAATAAACAAAGAAAAAACCAAAAGTAATGACTAATAATCCAGTTGAAATAACTTCACCAATGTACGTAAAAGGTCAAAAATTAGAACAAGTCAATCATTTCATATATTTAGGATCATATTTTAAATGACCTGTGGTCAAGACCAGAAATCAAGTCTAGGATAGCCCAGACAACACCTGTCCTTGCCACACAGCAAACATTATGGAGATCCCAAAATATGTCATGCAGAACTAAAATTTGATTGCTCACAGCACTAGTTATTAGTACATTTACCAATATCTTTGAAACTTGGACCTTTACAGCTGAACTCGAAAGGAAAATACAAGCATTAGAAATGCAATGTTTCAGAAAAATCCTTGCATATCATAGAGATCACATTACAAACCATATAATTATACAGCACATTGGCAACTATGAACCTCTTTTAACTACAGTGAAAAGGTGGTAAATGGAAGGGTATGGACATATAATAAGATCTAATGACCTGTCAGAAACAATACTGCAGGGCTCAGTAGAGGGAAAGAGGCAGACCGAGAAAGACCTGGTTACAAAACCTGGCTGACTGAACAGGAGTCAGGCATGCAGCCATAAAGTCCATCGCATCTGATCACCAAAGGTGGAGAGCTAATCACACAATCAACCGAAACTGGTGACCCAACAACACGTAGTGTTACTAGATGATGATGATGAACTGTATCTCATGGCTGCTACCACCTTCGTAGGTCATTCCACACCGCTCCCTACCTTTTCCTTGGGTCATTCCACCCGTCGTCCCCTTCAAATTAGACATACAAAACCACCCCTGCATACCCAAGAGGGTGGTAACATCTACTTTTGGAAACATTGGTCTAGCCATTATGCTATTGCTGTCACTGCTTAAAGAAAATGACAGTTCCTGTCCAGACTTCATGTTTGATGAGAGATAGCAGTAAAAATGTTTTGGTTTTTTTTTTCAATCTAATTCTTCAAGTGAATTAACTCCAAAGAATGTTATTGGTTGCTGATTGTAGCATTAGTTGCCCTTAGCAGTTGAAAATTGAAAAGAGTAGCCTAACGGCCCGGTCTGGGCAAAATTTTGAGCTAAAAATCTACCCAAAGTATTTCTATATCCTTGCTGGTTATGCGGAGTTTGTGCACTGCGCTGAGATTCTTTGGACTCAGGCTTGAGTTAGAAGTAGAACCGAGCACTTAATAGTTACTACCCTTGCGCCATGATGTTGATCCATTGTATAAACAATCTAAACTGTAGCATTAGTTTGCAACAGGTTGTAGAAATTTATGGAAAAAAAAGCACAGTTGAGCTAGGAATGACAGCCAGAATAACGTGTGCAAATTTCACTCCTGTTCATAATTTGGAAGGAATTCTTATGATAGACAGACATGGATATTCTGTTTTATAGTATAGATGTGCCCATTCTTTTATTTATTCTTTGTATTACAGACTTATGAGAGCAGTGGTGGTACAGTTGTTCTTGTGCTTGGCTACTAGCCCAGTGAGGAAAGGTTGAATCCTTATTGAAGCACAGTTAAAAAAATTTTTTTTACCTGTCTTCTAGATCAACATAGCCTACAGATGGGTTCAAGGAATTTTTCTGGGAAGTACAGGCAGCCTGTGTGTAAAAATCTGTCCCACCTATCGAGTATCACTTGACTATAAAAATAGGAAACTAGCCCAATATGCCTAAAATAACAGGATTTTTTCTTTAGTGTACTTACAAAGGTTATTCTAAAATCAGCCTCCATTTGGCTGGCAAAATGATAATAATATTCACTACCAAAAAAAAATCATATACATAACTGCATTATCGTACCTTTCTTCGGTCGCTAAATAGGATGGAGCAATGAACATAGAGAGTGTAACTCTGTACCTGATATGGTGTGAGGTTGTAGGTTGTCACTCCAGACAGTGATTTCCTTTATAAGCATTCGATGTCTTTTATTATATATTAGCCTCCAAACATTAAACTTGAAGATTTCGTGATAAATTCTCATACTTTGTGGTCCATGCTGCTTAACTTCACTTAACAGATTTACCTGAATTCTCAGAATATTTCAGTGTCATTTAATGTGTGAAAATGTTTTGTTTCATCCTTGTCTCCCTGTGTGTGTTTGCACTAGCATGCTCTTCTTGTATCCAACTTATAGAACTCATCAAATACATTTCCTTGACACACATCAGGGATAATTCCAGGTGGCACTGTGCCCATGCATGAATGAAACTGCAGACCTCTAAATTGGTGAGAATGTTGATGACAGTGGCCATGTTTATCCGTTCTTCATGAACATGTGAACAGTCAGGGCTGTACATCAATAAAAGACAATACTGACTTCTGCAGATAAAGCATCATGTCACCTGGCATCCTAAACATTTTTCCCACCAGACCAGAGGCTTACATTGAAATTGCTTGTGTAATGTTGGCAGCTTCTGTGGTATTTTCAATAGTTTGATAACTGTAACAGTTGGAATATTTATGTACACTGTAACATATAAAGAATGGTATACAGATTCAGCTCTTTCTGGCAATATTTGCTGTTTGTTAGTTCAGTTTCTGATTCTTATTTTCAGGGCATCAGATGGCAGTCTGGGCAGTGGGCATTATCTCAGGTCAGGGCATAATGTTGACAGGCTCAGCTGATAAAACAATCAAGGCATGGAAGGCTGGAAAATGCATACAAACCTACAAAGGTGATTGTTTATTTTCTCAGTAATTGAGTAGAAGCATTGGCTTAGATTTTGTCATCAGGGCACTAGCAACTATAAATCCGGTTTAAAACAGCTCAACTGTGCACAGTAAATGCTGTGCACATGTTATAAGATCTGCCAGCCTGCCAAGGTTCATACTACAGGCACATACATACACACACACACACATACACACACGCATGTTCTTGTTTATCTTGTATTTTCACATGTATAGAACAACATTTTAGTTCCATAATAGAATTCTAAGATACAATACATACAGTGACTTCTGTGACATGAAGTGCGGTAGAGAGCATTGATTTCCTAAGCTCTATAAATCTTCCATAATTTATATGTATAATCACAATGAAATACTATTTAAAAAATTTAAAAAATAAAATACCATGCTCGAATTTTGTTTTGTTTTACAGGTCATGAAGACTGTGTGAGAGGTATAGGAGTTGTAAGTGAAGGAGAGTTTTTATCTTGCTCAAATGATGCTACTGTGCGACGATGGGCTGTCTCCTCTGGGGACTGTCTGGGTATTTACTATGGCCATACCAATTATGTTTACTGGTAGGTTGCTTGGAAGAAATATTCATTAAGTTCAGGTAGAGTTGAAGAGCAGCTGGCTGAGCGCGAGAGACTGGGGTTTTTATCCTCTGTGAGAATATGTATGTTTTTCTGTTTGGGCAAAAGTAAGGTTCCTACCTCCCTAGTTGTGAGGACTTCACTAGCCATGTGGCTCTAAATCGTTAGTCTTAAGGACCATCGTCCCCGACACTTAGTCCCACATTGCTCCCCAATCTGAAATGAGTGTTGGAAAATGTACTGTGAAGTAAAAGAAGCTACTATGATACTGTCTGTACAGGGAAGTAAAGGTAGCTACCATGATACTGAATGTACTGTGAAGTATAGGTAGCTATTTGAAACTGAATGTACTGGGAAGTAAAGGTAGCTATTTGTTACTGAATGTACTGGGAAGTAAAGGTAGCTACTATGATACTGAATGTACTAGAAAGTAAAAGTAGCTACTATGATACTAAATATACTGGGAAGTAAAGGTAGCTACTGTGATACTGAAATATACTGGAAAGTAAAGGTAGCTACTGTGATACTGAAAGTACTGTGAAGTAAAACTCCAGAGTCAATGTGATCATAACCTTACACAGGTCAGACTTTTCCTCTGGTACTCTGACCCACTTCTTTCCTCACCCAATGTTCTAAAACATGCATACTTGTCTTATTGTGTCTTCTGCTTGAGCCATCCAAGATTTCTCCCTTTTTAGCCTCTGACCCTTACCTGCAGCCAAAGCCTCAGAGGGTGTTCTTTGCAACTACTCTAAGGTATGACTTAGCCTGCAGCACCTTTAGCTTATCTGCATTAGTCAGCATTGCAAGGATGTATCCCATGCACACAATCGAGGTATCTCTTGTACATACCAGGATCACCTGCTTAGCTTCATTCTGTATGGGCCCAATGTCTGTAGCTGCATCTCTAGCTGACTCTTCGAGACAGTGAGTAACCCCAATCCATAATTAATCGCTGAGATGATTAAGTGCTGGTAAAGTGTGAACAGCATTCTCTGCTCCATGTTCATCACTGCCATAATCTTTAGTGCATTAATATGTTTTTGAGCCTATGTTATTCTTGAAAGACAAACTACAGTCAAAGGTGATTCCCAGGTACCACAGTCTGTTCTGCCCTCTATCCCCCAGCTAAGCAAAGACCCTCACACCAAGTCATCATCTATTTTCTGTCACGTACAGTTTACCCCATCTCCTCGCAGGCTTTTTAACTTCACTCTGTAATTCCCTTCTGCATATGTGTCCTGAAGATTACAATATGTTTATCATAACTGCAGAATCTCAGACTACCCTAACTGCTATATTTTGATATTGCCATATCCTGCTACAATCACACTATTCCCTGATCATGATGTTTTCTCTTATCTCACTGAACTCTCTCAATTCCAAGCAAGCTGTGATGTATGACTCACTCTGCTTCTTGAATCCAGACTATTGTCTGTCATGTTTTCTTACTTTGTACATTTGGTCAGGAAATACAGTTGAGATCTGGCTTCCTCCATGAGTACTTGGACTGTGTATTTAGTCTCTTTAAGATTTTCCATCTGCTGCCAAATACCCTGGCACCGAAAGTGTTGATAATCATGATTTGCTTTTCTGAATAGATATGTAGTCATGTTAACTTTGTGTTTACTCATCTCTTTCTCATTATCTATAGTTTTTTGTTTTGTTGATTTGTTTTTTTCTGCTTCATGTTTCTCATTGTGTTGTTCTTTAAGTAATTATTTTGTTCATATTGTGACATGCTAATAGGCATCTGTTTGTTACTGTTGTTCATCTGTTCAAATATACACGTTTTCTGGAAGCTGTGTGTTCATAATGTTGAAATTGACAATATATAACTGCTCTTTGATAGTTTATAACCTGTAAACCTTGTCCATTTGGCTCCTAGCTTATCCATACTTCCAAATGGTCAAGACTTCATTACGGGGGGTGAGGATCGAACCCTTCGTGTTTGGCAAGAAGGAAAGTGTGTACAGACCATTTACCACCCATGTGAATCTGTGTGGGCAGTGTGTGCTCTACCTAATGGAGACATAGCCTCAGGTTCAAGGTGAGCTGTAACTTGTTATTATGTAATTGTTGCAGAAAATGTAATTTTTCTTATCACAAACCTCCTGCAATTAAAGGATTTTAGAGAACATTTTTGTCTGTGGAAATGTTATCAAAAGTAACAACATTGAATCTCAGCATTTTTTGTGTGTGTGTGGGGGATAAAGATTACACATTTTTGTGTGATTCGGGCTGCACAAATTGTTGAAGGCGAGTTTAAATGATAATAATATTCACTACCAAAAAAAAAGAAAAGCAATGGCAAACTAATTTATTCAGAGATGTCAACAAGAACCATGATTTGACACCCTGACATTATACTTATTTAAAAAAAACAACTTAAGTGGAATCAGTAAGCTGCAGTAAAAATCAGTAAATTGTTGATCAGTGCCAGCCAGTTAATAAAGACATGAAACAGCATGGTTTAATGTTTCCAGATCTTTTGCCTCTTTAGTCAAATATTATAATTTAAAGAGTTAAGTTAGTTGCGTATCCTTTACAGGACATTGCAGAACCAACCCCAGAATTTTTTGGCTGTTGTGGTTTTTTTTAAGCAAATATATGCCCAGTAGTTTGCACTTTTAAGAGGCATAAATGAAATTGTCATTGGAGCATGTTACATCAGTTTAGTAAGATATGCAGGATGTATTAACTGCAGACACTCAGCATACATAGGGGGACTGTGTGGTCTTGAGGTATGGTGTCCGCCTTGAGTGCTAGAGGTCCCGGGTTCAAGCACCAGTGAAGGCTGGGATTGCTCCCGTGGATTTCTAGTAATCCCCCCCTGGTCACTGGGTAGTAAAACGTGACACCTGTGTGTATTGTTGCGCACGTAAAAAATCTCAGGTGGAAATCGAAAATAGTAGCCTAACGGTGCTGCCAGGGCAAATCTTGGAGTTAAAGATCCACCCAAAGTATTTCAGGATCCTCGCTGGTACAACAGAGTTCAGGTTCGAGTGAGAAGAACAATGGAGCACTTATGGGTTACACCCATGTGCCCTGATGTTGATCAGTTGAATAAACTTAAACAATAAATAAACATAAACTCATCATACAGTGAATCGAAGGAGCACACAGAAGATCCTTACTTCTTCCCTCTGCAAGTTTCAGGAAGCTGTTTACTGCCTTACAGGCAGTGGCTCGTTGGCAGCTCCATGACAGTGTTTGTATCCTAAACACAACTAACCCAACACTATTAGATCACACACATCAGCCTTTATTGTAATTTAAAAAGGCAATGGCAGTTTGCCCCAGATAGGGTTTGTGTTACTATTCCCAGTACTCACCTGCCAGAGTGCTTTACAGTTGCCACCCACACACGCACTGGCCTTATGGTTGCTAAACGGGTCCTAACCAACAGTCTCCTATACACGCTGTTTCCTGAGCCCTCGTTACATCTCAACTGCTGTGGCTCGGCATGGCCCCCGATAGTGTGTCCAGACAGACCATGTCAGTGTGCTGAGTCACCTGGACTCAGTACCCACAACATCACTCTGTTCTTCTTCTTCTTGTTTTTTTTTTTCATTTTCTTCTTCTTTTCCTCCTCCTTTTCCTCCTCCTCCTCTTCCTATTCCTTTTCCTCCTCCTCTTCTTCTTCACTGTCAAACCTCCTTTGCGAATCACCTCGCTAAGACACAGATAAGGTACTTCAAATATCACTAATCACACTGGACTATCTCTACACAACACATAATGTTACACTGCTTACTTGTACTAACACTTTATTAGAATACCATCATACTAATTATATGTCCATCTTGCCTTTCCATTTACTGTAGACTGTTGGCCAGAAACCCTCTGTTCTCTCCACACCTTAATAAATTCTGCATTCTTCATGTGCTCCTAAGGGCCTTGACCACATTTATGCATCAAATCACCAGCCGGTGGTGCAACACCAGCCAGTTTATTTGCGTGTTGAATTTCCCAGTGCACCTGCATACTCTGGAGAACAATTTTCTTCTAATGTTCATCTGTAAATATGTTTCCAAGATATTAAATAATAATGCATAACATCAATTTTCAGTGATGGGGTTATCCGTATATTTACAAGAGCTGCTGAAAGAGTGGCCAGCCAGGAGGTAATAGAAGCACATGAGGCATCACTAGCGAATGCACCTGTGGCTTCCCAGCCCTTGGGGGATATCAAAATTGAAGATCTGCCTGGACCAGAAAGTCTCCAGAAGCCAGGTAGGCAACAGTTGTTTTTGTAACTGAAGTCAATTTCAGGTTGTAAATGTTTGCTGAAAAGGGCTTTTTTCTTTATATGTCTTGCCACCTTGGAATGTCGTTTATTACAATATGTTTCTTGCATTGAAAAAAATGTGCAGCTTGTATATTTGATATGAAGCAAGGTCATCACAGAAATACTTTATCTCTTTCTGACCCGATTAGTATTTATTTTAAATAACAACACCATGTTTCACAAGAAACTCAACTAACAACAGATAGAATGAGTTAGTGCAGCAGTACTCTGTGATGGTAGATAGTTATTAGACATATGTTGAGTTACTTGAAACAGAGAGAGTTAATATAGGTTACTGTGTTGTCTGCATTTTCATTCTCAATTTTTAGACTTTTGTCTTGTGTGCCTCCAGGAAAGCGGGATGGCCAGACAACTATGGTGAACACTAATGGAACTGTGGATGTCTACCAGTGGGATGCCAGCCAGACTAAGTGGGTAAAGATTGGGAATGTTGTTGGTTCCAGTGGCAGTACACAGAGGACTTCAGGGAAAACTCTCTTTGAGGGAGCAGTAAGTGTTTCTACCCTTATGTTTATTCAGGAACAGTTATATCAAAGTAAAGGGTAAACAATGTGCCTGTTTCAGTGCTTCAAGACATACTGAGATGCTATCCCATGTTTTTTTGTTTAATAGAACAATGGTGCTCAATTCCTTTGGGGATAAATATTATATAAACAACCCTTAATTCCTATAATATTTCCTTGGTTTAGACTAGTACAGCCTAGGAGTCAGACTTTTAAAGAAATTCCTGCCTTTGAGAGATTGAAACATGGTTTCATTTGCTTAACAGTCTGTCCCTTTAGGATGAGAACAATGCGTGGCAGATGATCACTTTCTTGCACCCCAGGAACATCCCAGCACATTGTGTGTGCATTAGTACTGGGCGCTAACGCTAGGTTGATCACCCCATCCGAGTCTCTGGCTCTCTCTAATCCTTTAATCTGAAGCATTTCACTGTTATACTTTTGCATATACATATGATGGAAGCTGTCTTGGGTAGCAAGAAAGGGTAAAACTTTACAAACAGATGTGAGGGGCTTTCTCCGCTCTGGTAACTACCAGATACCTCATTGAGAGTGGTAGAACACTTGCTGAGACCTTTAATTAGGGTTAAATGAAGTCGTGGCCCGGCAGATGATAAATGAAAGTAGAGAGCAGCTGAAAGGTTTTTAGAACTATTTATTTTAGCTGTTCTAGGCAGAGGATGCCCGTGCAGGCACAATGACTAGAACAGTCTGTCCTTTAAGGAAACTGTTCTTGCTGAAAAAAATTGCATCCTACGAGTTTTTTTGCATAGAAAATTCATATCTGGACACATTCACACTTGTGGACAGACATGATTACTAGTGTCACATGGCATAGACTGTAAGAAGAAGACTCTGTTATTGATCCTAAACCTGGTCTCTGTCAACATTCCCCCTGAGAAAACCTGTCACATTTGAGATGATATGCTAGAGAAAAGCTGCCAGGGTTTCCAGTAGGAGCAAGGTGCCAGAGATGTCTTAAGAAATATGACAGATTTAACATCATTGATCAAATTAATCAAGATTACAGCAACAGAAAAGTAATTAGACATCTAATCAGCATAAAAGCTGATCAGCTACTGTTAAGAGCATATAACCAAAAATGATTTAAGTGCAGAGTTAGATTTCCAACCCTAGTTGGTTGGGCTATTAAAGTGGCAGCCTGCAGGCCATGTCAGACCTGCAATAGCCTAAAAAGTGCCATGTGGATTATTGCTAGTTACACTGCATTAATGATTTTTCTGTGCTTGGGCCCTGGCTTGCGACAATCTGCATTTTCAACATTTTGGCTCCTGAGTAAAGGTAGTTGCAAAGCCCTTCACTAAAGAGCTCAGGATGCAAGGCAGTCAAGACAAGACATCTGACATTTATGGATTAGGTAAAGATATATTCATTTGGGACTAAATAATAGCATTGATGGCACGATTAATGTCATTATATATTTTTTAGTATTGAAGTTTTAGTTATTCTTTCAGGTTTCAAATATGCAGTTGTTTCATAGTATAACTTAATCATATGTTAGGTTCAGATCTTTCACTCTTTGTCCATTTATTACATAGATTGTTCAGTCAGTGGATATCTTAGTTTTCTTTATCTTTTTGTTTGCATTTATTACATAGATAGTGCAGTCAACGGAGATCTTAGTTTTCTTTCTCTTTTTGTCCATTTATTACATAAATAGTGCAGTCAATGAAGATCTTAGTTTTCTTTCCCACTTTGTCCATTTGTTACATAGATAGTGCAGTCAACGGAGATCTTAGTTTTCTTTCTCTTTTTGTTCATTTATTACATAAATAGTGCAGTCAATGAAGATCTTATCTTTCTTACTTTATTCATTTATTACATAGATAGTGCAGTCAACGGAGATCTGTTTTTCTTTCTTACGTTATTCATTTATTACATAGTGCAGTCAACGGAGATCTGTTTTTCTTTCTTACTTTATTCATTTATTACATAGATAGTGCAGTCAACGGAGATCTTATCTTTCTTTCTTACTTTATTCATTTATTACATAGATAGTGCAGTCACGAAGATCTGTTTTTCTTTCTTACTTTATTCATTTATTACATAGTGCAGTCAACGGAGATCTGTTTTTTTCTTACTTTATTCATTTATTACATAAATAGTGCAGTCAATGGAGATCTTAGTTTAAGGAACCAAAGGACCAGTTCAGCATCTAAACCTTCAATCTATTGTAAGATTGTGGTTCTAAACTCTGATGCCATCTTTCAACACCCCACAGGAGTATGACTATGTTTTCACTGTGGATATAAAAGAAGGAGCCCCACCACTGAAACTGCCATACAACATCGCTGAAGATCCTTGGATGGCAGCCCAAAAGTTCATCTACAAGCATGAATTGTCTCAAGTCTTTCTGGACCAAGTTGCCAACTTCATCATTGAGAACACCAAGGGAGTAACACTAGGGACTGGTTCGGTGCTCTCCAACTCTGATCCTTTTACAGGTTTGTGCAACTGCTTGTATAAGCATAGTTTTTTTTTTTTAACAGAATGTGGACAGACCCTGATTGCTATGATGTTGATATTAACTTTTAACCTGATGTTTTTTTATTATCTTTGTGTTTGAAATTAACTGGTCAGATTGGAAAAGAATCCTTTGTTAAATTCCTAGCTAGGGATGATCTCACTTTTGGATGCACCCAGTCTTGTTGTTTTTTAGAGTAATTTTTTGTGAAAGAAAAAACAAACCATGGAGTTGGTCACCTCATAAGCTTTAACTAACCGTATGGGATTTTTTTTAAAGCTAATTAAAGGATTTTGGGGGGTGGGGGGGGGGGGACCAAAACACTTTTATACATGTTTACATGATCATATAAGAGTAAAGATATTTCCTGTGAAGGTTCTGGGGTCCATTAAGAGAAAAAACATTTGGCCCACAGTTTCCCTAGCAAGGATATTATTAATTACAGACTTGGCCAACATTAATTGCCCTTTAAAAAAATGGCGGAGAGGGTGGTGTACAAGAAAGGCAATAGAGAATGTAATATACTTCTAAATCCTGTAAAAGTATATATATTTTTTTAAGAGAAATGAATGTACATTTTGAATCTGATGATAAGTTTATGTTTAATTTTTTTTATAGTTAGTAGGAAATAAGAATTCAGTAGGTGTTAATTTTACAACAACAAAATTTTACAACCAAATTCTTTTATTACCATGGTTTTGCAGCCACAAGAGTAGTCGATATCCAAATTTGAGAATAAAACTTCAAAGCTTGTTCAATTTTCTAATAAATTCCAAAGTTATGTTAAGTTTATGGGTTAGTTTAGCACTCAGGGGTTCTTAGTTCTCACAGAGTGCTGAGCAAAATTTTGAAGAAAAATGGGCCATTACACATACACTGTTTACTATTTACTTTGTACAGTTATATACAGACTGTAGCTGCAATGTTTCAATGTAGCTTAGCCAAGTATAGTACTGTCTCTTTGTTTGGAGCACTTCCTTTCTCTTACACCATAAATACAGTAACAATGGGACATTGTGTAAACTATCAGAATCGCGATATTCCTAAACAGCTTTGCTGGTGAAGATTCACCATCAGAATCACTTTTTGAAAAATCTAAATTGTCATTATCATTATCAGAATTAAAAACATCTGACTGAAACAATTTCAGAGCTTCCGCCACAGAAAGGTGCATTCTGCGACCTGTACTTGTGGTTGGAACATTGTATTCATGGCCCTCAAAAATGAAACAAATGTAGCTATGAATCTGATCAATCTATGCATGTGTGGCTTAGGTTACAGAATGGATTTAAAAAAAAATTTTTAGAGTGACTTTCCTTGAATAATTTAATTGTAGTCCTGAACGTTAGAAACAAGAACGGAGCCGTATGTACAATACGGGACACATGACTGATGATGACAACGTTGTTTGGGCAAAACGTAACTTCTCAACCAACGCTCACACTGTTGCTGGGGCCTTAAAGAGTTAAGGGCATTTCCCTTAAAGTCACTGTGTATTTGCCTTAGCGGCTAGAAAACAAAACAGTCTGCCTGCAAATAAGACAGATCTGTAAAATGGCTGCGCATGGGCAAACAAAATTTTAGTTTTGGAATAAGACCAAAGTTTAGAAGTGGATTAACCATCAGTACTTTTTGTTGAGTTTGTAGCAGATGAACGCTAAGAATAATAAGAAGATTAATGTTTGATATTGGGTGAAAAGCAACTTTCAGGTACTGAGAATTTTTGTTTTGTTTCAGGAGGAGATAGATACATTCCTGACACAGATAAAAATGCTGGTATCACAAATGAGGTTTCAGATCCATTTACTGGTGCAGGCAGATACGTGCCAGAGGGTATGTAGTTCTTTGTTAAGGATATGTGTGTACCGAATGTGAAATGCCACATGTACATTAGCAGTAACAAAGTTACCTTTTGGTGGAGTGGGTTTATAGAGAAAACAAATGGGTTTAGACATCTTATGGAACTAAAGGCTAATTACCTACTGCTTTATGCCTACAGCTGAAAAGGACCAAGATTCAGATGAATAGATTTTATCAGTCTTATAATGTAGAAAGTCACTGCTATCTAGGCAGCATATTTTTCACCAGTTATTTGGTGATAAAAATGGAAAGGAGCAACCAACAGTGGGTCATTACAGTAAACAGATAGATATTAGAAACAGATAGATACTAGAACAAAAAACAAATTTCTGCTAAATTGGATGTGTAATAAAGGATGATGGCATCAGTAGAACAGAAATCAAAAAGAAGAATAGGAATAGTTGAACACTGTCTTAAATGAGATGCAATATTGACATTAGGGAAATTAACAACACATTAAAAATTAAAATTGTCAAATATTATTCATACTCAACTTTGCTTTATAGTGCCAAAACCTGGACAATGAACAATCAGCCAGACAGCCCAATTAAGTCTAGAGATATGGATACACAGGTGAATTGGTCATATTTCAAAAACAATCAAATAGAGGATCTGAAGAGACTGGAAATGAGAAATGCCGAAAGAAATTTAAAGCAAAAGATAATTTAAATATTTTACTCACATTAAAAGACATAACCCTCTTTTAAAAACCATGCTGCAGGAAATAAAATTGGAGGCAATAGATTAAGAAGTAGACAGCAGTACATGTGGAGGTCAACATCAAAAGATGAACAAAGACAGTCTGAGAGTGTGTTGCGAAGGCAAGGGATGGAGTGTTTTGGAGATCTTTTGCAGGCAGTATTCGCCATGGCACCTGATCGATAAAGAGATTTAATGAATAGGAAGAGGTACAGTTGAAAAGCATTGCTGCCTTTTCACAAATAGATATAATGAGCATTACACCCCTTTCAGAAACAGTCTGTTTTTACCATCCGAGATGCTAACTTTTAATTTCACCACCCCTGTGACTTCAAGAGTCATGTCCAACATGGGATACCAATAGGGTAAATGTAAGAAACTTCTTTAGTTTGCAGGGTGGTTATATGATGGCAACCATGACAGTTACACTAGATGGTGTGCCCTTCAGTCTATTGATACTAGCAGAGGTATTATAAATGCAGTGCACCATTTTAACATATGCAATTGAAAATTGGAGAACCACTAAAACCATGAAATAAAAGTGAAATGCATTTGAAAACAAATGTCTGAGGGAAATTATAACAACATGAGATGAATTCAAAAGGAGTGAAGAAGTAAGTGAAATGTCTAAGCAACCACTAGTATCAACAGTTATAAGACAGCAAAGATGCAATACATCGGACACATCCTGAGAAGAAACCAGCATGAGTGAATACGAGCTAGCCTGGTGATGGAAATGATGAATCTCAGAGGCTAGCCCGATTATGTGACTGGAAGTAAAGCTTGGTGAAACCTGTTGGTGATGTCTCCAAGCTCAAGATTTAGGACAGCTTTTTATGGGAACAGTCAGTAAAAATACATAGGTTGGCTGCAATGGAGAACTGAGCATATACTAGAATTAGAATGTCCAGTGTGCAAGAAGGTTGACTGGGATAAAGTTACAGGCGATAGACAACTGATGTTGTGAAGATATATGGTGGCAAGATAATCTCTCTGGAAATGGATGGGGCACAGTGGAATCCCACATAAAATTATTAACCTCATGAAGGCAACATATAAAGACATGAAATGTCGAGTTCTTCATGAGGGAAAACTAACAGATACATTTGAAATCAGAAAAAGGTGTGTGACAGGGATGTCTTTTGTTGCCTTTCATATTTTTACTAGCTATAGACTGGATTATGAAGACAGTAACTGCTAACACCAAGAATTGAATTCAGTGGACCCCTACAAAACAGCTTGATGATCTGGACTTTGCTGATGATATTTCTCTTCTGTCCCATTCACGGAATCAGATGCAAGATAAATTAAATATACTTGATGCAAGATTACAGCAGCTAGGTCTGAAAATCCATAAAGGAAAGACAAAGATAATCAGAATAAATCAGGCAAATTGTAATGTGGTTTCTCTTAATAGCACCCCACTTCAAGACATGAAGTTGTATACCTATTTACACAGTAATGTAGATAAAGATGGGGAAACTGATAGAGATATAAAAATAAGAATATAAAAGGCAAGAGGAGCTTTCATAGCACTAAGGAATTTATTGAAATCAAAAGAAATTAAAACTTAAAATTGGTAATTCTAATGTCTAATCACTACTTTTATATGGAGCGGAAACATGGAGAACAACTAAGGTAATTACTAATAAATTACAGGCATCCATTAGCTGGTGCCTGCGCGGAAGAGACGCTGGCAATGGATGGGACACACATTGAGAAAACTGGAGAGCAGCATAACTATAATGTCCTTGTATTGGAACCCACAGTTGCATAGGAAAAAAGGAAGGCAAAAAAACACATGGAGAAGAGAGCTAGAGAAGAGTTAGAAAGACGGGGAGGACATGGGGAGAGCTGCATGCGATAGCGAAGGATATAACAACTTGGCGTGAGTTGGTTGAGGGCTTATTTTCCATTGGGAGCTAGAAAGGCGGAAGAAGAAACTTGATGATGGTTACAAGCTCTTTCTCACTGCTTTTTCCATCTTTTTTTGAAAGCTTGGCCTGTTGCCTTGCTTTGTTTTCAGTATGGTATGTCAAAGTGATTCCATGTCATTGTTTCAGATCCACTGCCATCATGATATTGGTGTGCCCAGTTTGTAAATGATTACTGTTAGTATACTTTCTGGTATTTTTGTTGTTGTAATTTTGATTTTTGTTTCAAAATGTTCCATGGCTCCCAGAATAACCCAGCCTAAAACTGTTATCAGAAAATGCCCTGGGAAGTAAAGGTGGTCAGCATGATGTTGATTCAACCCACCAAGTGCCAGTTGATCTATAAAAAATCAGGTCTTGTACCATTTAACCGATGTTCCAGAAACATCAAATACATCTTTTACTTTCACTGTACTTTCTGTCTGATTTGGATACTTCAAACTTGTCTAGAATTGTCAGCTAATGTTACCCAGTTTGTGGTTGCTGGTAACAAATTTAGGCATTCTATCATAGCTCTATAACTTGGGGGATGGTCATTGGAGGTCACTTGATTTTACAGCAGTATTTGAGAAGTAGTGTAGTGACAAGCACACTTGTGCGATATGTCAGATTTGAGAAACTGTTCACAACCCCTAAGCTGTGGATGTTTAAGGTTGATATAATATGTGGTCGATTTTTGTTTTGCCTCGCAGCTCTTTGTTTCAAAGTTAACCTTTAAATTCTGTATTAGACTAGAATCCTTCAGTCCCACCATTCTGTATTCTTTTGATGTAGACTCATTATTTCCCTTTGACAGTTCTGAGTGTGTAGAGATAAATTGCATGTTATTCACTATGGCAGTGTTGTGTGGTGACAATTCCCTGTGGCATTGTGTGGTGACTAAACATCTTTCTCATATCTCTGCTGTAACTGATCTCTCTTGTTAATGTGCAGGGAAGACAACTGACAGCCCATCCAACAGTCACTTTCCGGTCAAAACGTTTCTATATTTTGACACAGTCAGTCCAGCAGAGCAGATTTTAGGTAAGAGTTTCTGCTAATTTATCTTATTTGAGACCTAGGGACTGAATGGTTACATTACCAAGTCTTATGTCTGGGAGTACTTAATAATTGTTACATTACTAAATCTTGTATTTGGAGATACTTAATAATGGGTGCATTACCAAGTCTTATGTCTGGGGATACTTAACAATGGATACATTACCAAGCCTTGATCTAAGGATACATAACAATGGGTACATTACCAAGACTTATGTCTGGAGATGCTTACAGTGATTACATTATCAAGTCTTATGTCTGGGGATGCTTACAGTGGTTACATTATCATGTCTTATGTCTGGGGATGCTTACAGTGATTACATTATCATGTCTTATGTCTGGAGATGCTTACGGTGGTTACATTATCATGTGTTATGTCTGGTGATGCTTACAGTGGTTACATTATCATGTCTTATGTCTGGGGATGCTTACGGTGGTTACATTATCAAGTCTTATGTCTGGGGATGCTTACAGTGGTTACATTATCAAGTCTTATGTCTGGGGATGCTTACAGTGGTTACATTATCATGTCTTATGTCTGGGGATGCTTACAGAGGTTACATTATCATGTCTTATGTCTGTGGATGCTTACGGTGGTTACATTATCAAGTCTTTTGTCTGGGGATGCTTACGGTGGTTACATTATCATGTCTTATGTCTGGGGATGCTTACAGTGGTTACATTATCAAGTCTTATGTCTGGGGATGCTTACAGTGGTTACATTATCAAGTCTTTTGTCTGGGGATGCTTGCGGTGGTTACATTATCAAGTCTTATGTCTGGGGATGCTTACAGTGGTTACATTATCAAGTCTTTTGTCTGGGGATGCTTACGGTGGTTACATTATCAAGCCTTATGTCTGGGGATGCTTACAGTGGTTACATTATGTCATGTCTGTGGATGCTTACAATGGTTACATTATCATGTCTTATGTCTGTGGATGCTTACAATGGTTAAATTAAGTCTTATGTCTGGGGATAATTAAAAATGGTTACACTACCAAGTCTCTTTTCTGGGGATACTTAACAATGGGTGAATTACCAAGTGTTGTGTCTGAGGATACTTACAATAGGTACATTATCAAGACTTGTGTTTGGGGATACTTACAAAGGTATTATACATGGGATTAACTTCCCATATGCGAATTGTTATATAATTGTTATTTTTTCCCCTAATTATAAAATTAACATGTTTTTGTTTTCTCAGTTTTATTTCATTTTTTCAAAATGCTCCTTGAAAAAGACTAGTTGCATTGTCTGAGCACCTGTAGACATGTCCAGAGTCCAGTGAAGGTAACCCAGTTCATTAACTGGTTCATCTGGCATGTGGGGATAAATCCACATTTATTTCTGTTATGCACTCAACATTCAATGAATGATATAGTCAGCATTATGCAAGCCACCTTTTCTTCCTAGGATATTTCCTAGTCTTCTTCACTTCCTCTTTTACTCCTTCATATATAGAAGGAGATATAAGGTTCTGCTTCTAGCTCTTCTGGTTGCCATGACTATAGACACATCATGCTGTTGTAGAGTTTCTCTGATGCTATCTTTCCATCTTGGTCTACCTTGTACTTTACACCACTCTCTGCAGGGAAGCTGAAGGAGTTTAATAAAGTTATTGATCCCGAGCTACAAGTGTCAGAGGCAGCAATAGACAATCTGGCTAGCCTAATTTCAGGATCAGCCAACGCAGAGGCTGTAAAAACCCTGGAGAAACTTATAGCTTGGCCACCTGGTGAGTAGTGTATCAGATGTGTTTATTTCTACAACTCAGGTGGGCCCACCTCCGAATACGTTTAGGAATCGTGGGCCGAAACGTGTGTCGAAAGAGGATAATTTCTACTGATGACTGTAGATCCCCGCTGTACTTGCTCCCTGTGAGTTTATTCTTATTGTACGTGGCTAGCCCACAAGACTACCAGGAAAGACTGGTGACTATCGGGAAAGTCCTTTTGACACCTATGGAAAGACTGGCCCCCCGGTATCGCCGGGGGGATAAACTGACATCTGGAGACAGATGTCGACTGTGGACCGGGTTGATCACCCCTAACACAGTATAATACCTCCGATTGCGTTAAAAAAAAACCACAATGAAATATGCCCCCAGGGCCCTCCGAAAGGGGGGAGAATGAAGGGCCCAATCTGATTGATACCCTCGTTGACGACCTTGCTAGCCCCCGGACTGAGACACTCGCCCAACGTCCGGGCTGGCTCTGTACATGTGGGAAAAGCTTCACGGGGTTGCATGGTCTGAGAACGCATGCCGGAAGAATGAAATGCGAGGGTGCTCCACGCAGTAAACGCCGTCGCAAAACTACTACTCCTGTGGTAGTTTCTGAGTCGTTAGGGAACGACGGGCAGGGGGAACCCCACTCGCCCGGAGAGGCCCATGACGTCGACTGCGGAGGAGCACCTTTGATGATTTCTGAAGAAGTGCGCTCCAGAATCAGGTTTCCACCTGCGAGCGAGAAGGTGGTGTGGTGTAAGTTGGAGGCTACATTATGTGAGGTACTTAAACAAACTCTAAACAAGAAGTCGCTAGGCGACAAGCTTACTAAATTTGGTGATGTAATATATGAACACTGCTCCCGCGAGTTCGGGACAGTAGTTAAGGCACAGCCGGGTGCCAAGCAGAATACTAGCAGGAGGCAGAGGGACATTCTGAAGTGTCGGGCAGACAAGAATGCCCTCAGAAAACAGTTCAAAGCCGCTACGGGCAGCGAACGGGAGGGGCTGTACGAAGTGTGGGTGCATTTAAAGAACAAACACAGTGCCCTCTGTCGCGCCGAGCGTTTCTGTAACAACAGACGAAGAACTAAAAGGGAGCGAGAGAAATTCTTTAGGGACCCGTATCAGTTTGCCCGAGGTCTATTCGAGCAACCGAAGTCTGGGACTCTGGTTGTCAGTCAGAAAGAACTTGAGCTACATCTAAGCAAGATGTACTCTGATAAGAAGAGGAGAGAGCCTCTTGATGACAATCCAGAGATCCTTAGCGGACTCAAACAGCCTTCGGTGCCGAAGGTACCATTTAAACTGGTACCTCTCCCTTTGGTCTGAGGTTGAGGACGTTGTGAAAAAAGCCAGCGGCAAGTCTGCCCCAGGTCCGAACGGTGTTCCGTACGTTCTTTACAAGCGTTGCCCGAAAATCCTTAAAATGCTTCACGTCTTGTTGAGACAAGCGTGGATCCGCAATCACATATGTCCAGAGTGGTCAAAGGCAAATGGGGTCTACATTCCCAAAGAGCAGGACTCGAAGAGTCTTTCCCAATTCAGGCCCATCTCGCTGTTGAATGTTGAGGGTAAGATATTCTTCTCAGTCATGGCTCGCCGGCTCACACAGTATCTGATGACTAACAAGTACATAGATACGAGTGTTCAGAAGGGTGGTATTCCAGGCGTTCCTGGGTGCCTTGAACACGCGACCATGATTTGGGAGGCTATCCAGAGAGCCAAGCATGAGAGAACCAATTTGCACGTTATATGGTTGGACTTAGCCAACGCCTACGGGGCAGTCCCCCATAGGCTACTGTGGCGAGCCCTTCGCATGTTTCACGTACCGACACAGATCAGTCAAATGGTCGAGCAATATTTCTCTAAGTTCGCTTTGCGCTTCTCTACCTCGACGTTTACCACGAGGTGGACTGAGTTGCAGATTGGGATAGCTATGGGGTGTACGATCTCACCCATACTGTTTGTCATGGCAATGCAGATCTTATTAGACGGGGCGGCCGGCTACGGACTGGGCCTTCAAATAGGGGATCACTGGTTGCCGCCACTGCGCGCATTTATGGATGACACGACTATTATAACGGGCAGCGAGGAGTCTGCCCGCACGATCCTGAATAGATTGGACGCGGTGGTCCAATGGAGCGGTATGCAGTTCAAACCGCAGAAGTCGAGGAGTCTGTCAATCCATAAGGGCAAAGTGTCGGCGACCAGTTTTACGGTGGCAAGGAACAAGATCCCTACGGTTCTGGAGGAACCGGTGAAGAGTCTCGGTCGCGTCTACGATTCGAAGTTATCTGACAGAGCGGAAGTCCGGCGAATACATGAGTCACTGGCTACAGGCCTGCTCGCGATCGAGCGATGCAGGCTGATCGGAAAATTCAAGGTATGGTGTCTCCAATTCATGTTGATTCCGAAGCTTCTATGGCCACTGCTAGTCTACGAGGTGACGATGACTGCAGTGGAAACCATGGAAAAGAAAATCAACACAGCCTTAAGAAAGTGGATTGGTGCACCGCCTTGTCTGACCGACGTGGCTCTGTATTGTAAGCAGGCTAAGCTGGTACTTCCGTTCAAGTCTATAACCGAAGAGTTTAAAGTCGGCAAAGTTAGGCTCGCCATGCTTCTGCGCGAGTCCTCAGACCCAAATGTCATCGCTGTCCAGCCCGCTCTAAAGACTGGTCAGAAGTGGAGAGTCCTCGATGCAATTGAATCTGCTCAGAACGCACTAAAATTGAAGGAGGTAATGGGTTACACACAAACCGACCGTCGAGGCCTAGGGCACGGGAAAGTCAATTGGTGGTCAAAGGCCTCAGCCAAAGAACGCCGAGACATGGTGATACAAACGGTGAGGGACAACGAAAACGAGGTTCGGGTCCAGAAAGCAGCCCAACAGTCGCAGCAGGGCCATTGGGTCAGCCTGGAGAGCGCATTGCCAAGAGTACTCACATGGGGTGAGATCTGGCGGATGACCCCGCTGCGACTGAGCTTTATCGTTCGTTCGGCGTACGATGTATTACCGTCCGGTGTTAATATGGTTAAATGGTCTGCGACCAACGATCCGACTTGCCCGTTGTGCAAATCAAAGCAAACTCTTGAGCACGTCCTGTCCGCGTGCAGGAAAGCCCTAGGTCAAGGCCGATATACCTGGCGCCACAACAAGGTGCTAAAGGAGTTAGCAGCCGTTGTCGACCAGGCTAGAATGAGGGCTAACGCCAGAGCCAGTTCTAGTATCGCCCCCATTCGTTTCCTCAAGGCTGGGCAGGTTCCAATCGGTAAGGTCAACAAAAACGCATTCGCTCCATCTGTACTAGACTCTGCGAGGGACTGGTTACTGGCGGTTGATCTGCCAGGCCATGAACGGTATCCCGAGTTGATCCGTAAAACCGGCCTGCGACCGGACATCGTTCTCCATTCTGCGCAAAAACGGCAACTCATCCTGATTGAGTTGACGGTCCCGTTTGAGTCGCGTATGGAGGAGAATCATTTGTACAAGCTCGAGAAGTACAGTGATTTAGCAGCCGGTTTGAGGAGAAACGAGGCTTACACAGTACGGGTATTTGCCGTCGAAGTGGGAGCGAGAGGCCTCGTTTCCACTTCGCTCTACAATGTGGTGAAAGAATTAGGATTGCGCGGTAATGAACGGAAAAGAGCACTCAAAAAACTTGGTGAGGTGGCCGAAAGGGCATCCAGCTGGCTTTGGACGCAGCGCAACAACGTAGGGGACGGGCCTCGGTGAGCTGGTCCGGGAATCTAGTGGAAAAGAGTTTCTTATCCCTTTGAAAATCCATCGTGTACGAATTGTCTGCCAGTGTCTCTCTGCCAACTGCTAATTAAAGTCCAAGATGTGTCCGGTAAACCAAAGTAAGCTTGTCGCTCGGTCGTCCAGGCATGCGGACTGTTCTAATTACGCTGCCGTGGCGGCTTCTTATCTCACAGTACCTCCTTCGAAACCACCAAGTCGTCTTGTCTCTGGCCGAAAGTATAACACCATCCGGTAATTCTGTGCGGCGGGGAAGCAGCCCTGAGCTTCATGAACTCAGGTGGGCCCACCTCCGAATACGTTTAGGAATCGTGGGCCGAAACGTGTGTCGAAAGAGGATAATTTCTACTGATGACTGTAGATCCCCGCTGTACTTGCTCCCTGTGAGTTTATTCTTACAACTAGCTGGTAAAAGGAAGAGGACGTTTGGTCCACTGTGTAAGGGATGTGGATGTAGTGGCCAGGTATGCATGTAACGGCCGTCACTGCCGCTGTTTGTAAAATAAATATGCATAATTTTACCATTTATTATTGCTGGTTACTATTTATTACAAGCATGCCACCCGATCTACGTCCAGCGGAGGACCTGAAGCTTGTCAGCAGTAGTAACAAAGCAAAAAGAATGCTTGTTGCATACAAACGCCACTCATGCATAAGCTGTAACATGTGAGAGCTGCCGATTACTAAAATACTATACTAGTTGTGTGAATAAACCAAACCAAACATACTCTCAACAGCAAAGCGATGAGAAGAAAATATCATATGATACCCTTTTCAGTGTAATCGTAACCTGCTGATGCCTAATTTTGTTTAAACCGCTTACATGCAAACTGATCGCACTGTGGGAGGTTGCAGTTACTCTTTAGTTCAGGTGTCAACAGTTATAAGAGAAAGAAGATTGGGATATATATGACATATTCTGATACAAAGTCGGGGGAACATTGTATAGCAGGCTCGGAAATGGGAAACAATTAAATAGAGGAAAAGACATTGGTTGATGAGAGAGGCCAGAGGTGCTAGACTAGACTGTATGCAATATAGCCACACCCAGTATAGATTGGACTGTCTGAGTGAGGGTCCTGTGTGACGTATAGAGGAAAAACAAGTGGACTGTCTGAGTGAGGGTCCTATTTGGCATATAGAGGTAAAACAAGATAATGAACGAATCAGATGGCTCAGAAATAGATTATAGCTTAAACTGATAAGAGCAACAGCACATAGTCGAGATATTTTTGTTTTAGTATGAGAAGAAATATTGAAAAATAATGACAGCACTTAAAATTAACGATGAAAGAGCAAGGGAAAACTGAGAGAAAAATGACTGGGTGGCTTGACTCCTTTGCACGGTGTGAAAAGAGTACAAACCTGATTTTGGTAAGTATATGTAGATTGCAAACCATGACTGCCTGGAGTGGCACAGCTTCAGTAGAACAATCTGTACTGCAGTGGATTCCAGGTCACTGTGTGGCTTTAAAGGCAATGAAATAGCGCACAGATTGGCCAGACATGGCAGTGACATGGTGCAACTAAATAGTAACTTAAGCCACCAAGAAATATATATATTAATACAATCTAGTATCTAAGAAAGATGGCTGGATACACAAACCAAATTCTCACCTCGAGACTTGCTTCATTGTGGTTAAGTAGTCACAAATAAAAATCCCAAGCTCTGTTAACAGAACTTGGAAAAAAAACATCTGGCAATAGTCAGAGTATCACATAACATAACATTGTTGACTTTTTGTTTTATAGATTTTTAAAATATTTTTTGATAGTTAAACTGGGGAAAAAAAATTAGTATAACATAGTATTTACATGCACAGATGCATTTAGTTTTAACATTTTGTTTTGCCTACCTATGCTGAATTTGCATTTGTAAAGTATATTCATATTAGAATCTCTGTATCTATTTCTTGATATTTGTCTGTGTTGTAAGTACATACTGACACCCAGTGTAAGACGGGAAGGCTTGTGTCAAATCTGTTTGAACAGTGTCTCGACTTGTGTGTAGAGGTGGTTACTATCCTTCTATTATAGTTGCTAGTTAGTCTTTTTAGACCTATTATGAGAAGGAACAGAACTGAGAACTTGGTCACAACTAATATAATCTTCAGCGGGGCATATCATGATGATGATGATGATGAGATTATTTGCAGCTGGACTAGATATTGAATTTGTTGATCATCTCATCTTTGGTGCTAGGGAATGTATGAGTAAATCTAGACATTCTGGTTATATCTTTTTCTGTGATCGCCTTCATCATAGCAGTTGAACAATTTAGGATTCGTATCTTAACACAAGCTATGGCTAGAGGCACTGAATTGATCTGTGTTCAGCATACATTTCTGTAACTGTAAATTTATTTTTGTTGTGTTAATATTTTTCCCTTCTTTTCTTATTCCTAATTTTCTCTCTTATTTCACATTTCCGTTTTATGTAATCTGTTGGCATTTTAATTCTGCTGACATTGGTTGGAGCAGAGCATTCTGTTGTATTGTATTAGCGCACATCTTTTCTATACACTCTAATGAGCTTTCTGATTGATGTTGTGTTAGGTTACCACTTTACATCTGCTGGAGTTACACTTGTTTTCACTAATGGTTGTGCATATCAGTGCTCAGAGAACATAACTTGAGCCTATAACAGTACTGTCTATATTTTGTACTGAATTTGTGCAAGTTTTTACACAGAATTGGTCTGTGTTGTAATGTCTTATCTATAGTGTTAGCATTGTCACACATTTGGAGTCGCAATTGGGTGGTAATGATATGCTAGGGCAGGTTTTCACAACTGTAATATAAGACAGCATTTGTGGCAGGCTATCCTTGTTTGTGATTACATGGTGGCACAGAATATGGACATGGCATTTCAGAATTATTGCAGACTGAAAAGTCATTTCATTAAAATCTTGTCATACCATAGTTTTGTACCTGTAAATGTCTGTAATACTAAAGTGGATGGCCAAATATAGCCGTTTCTTAATGATATAATGTTGCTAGAAAAGTACATTATCTTTATTTGTCATCTTAATTCTAAGAGTAAATCTTGGGGTATTGTCTCACTCTAGATGCCACCAACTCTCTGTATATTAACATTATAAAGATGACAAGCAAGGCAGCCATATTCCAGTACTCTTTTGCATGTATGACTTTTCTTATATTCACCTTTTTGTACATTAATTTATAATTTTTTGCACAAATTTTAAAATTATACTGGGATTTACTAATTCAATTTCTTAAACCATGTTTTCAGAGTATGTTTTTCCAGCATTAGACATATTGCGCATCACTATCAGAAACCAAGAGGTGTGCAAGTACTTCTCTTCTTCACAAGACTGCGTTGATCTCTTATGCCAGCATGCTTCCCAAGGCAATCCCCCAACATGTCGCATGTTGGCAATGCGTACATTTGCCAACTTCTTCCGCTACCCAGAAGGCATTGAACTCAACATGCGCCACATTGATGCAGTGCTGCAGTCTGCGATTAACTGTAAAGACTTCAATACAAAGAATGCTCAGGTTGCTGTTGCTAGTTTAGTTCTGAATTATTGTGTAAGACTGTCCAGCTTAGATGATCTGGAAAGTAAGTCCAAGTGTCTTCAAGCTATTGGTGAGATCCTGATTGTGAACCTGGATCCCGAGGCAGCATATCGTTTGCTGGTCGCTGCTGGAACCTTGGCCGCTCTTGATGACAGCTGTAAAGCTTTGGCTCATTCCATTGATTTGCCAGATGTTGTCAGAAAGTTTCACACTTCCGATGTTAGTAAATTGGTTGAATGCTCCAAGTTATTGTCCCACACCCTCTCTAGTTAGTTGTCTCTCATTGTTAAGTTTCTATAATATTATACTGAAGCTACCTGTGAGTGGCCAGTGTTTTGTTTCTGTTTTATAACAGTGTATTATTTGTTTCTCAACATTAAATTGCCCTGTATTTTACATAGCTAAAAGTTGTTGATGAAACAATATGAGTATGCCTACATTCTTGGGACATGCCGGGAGAGGGAAGACTGAAGTATATCTTAACAGTGGGAAAGATAGAGACCAAGAGAAAAAACTTTGAACAAATTTTGACAGCATGGCCTGGAAGAACAACTGTATCAGAAATGATTAACAGTTCACAAGACAAAAGGTGGTAGACAGAGATAAGGTTACAAATGCCACACAGCACTGACTATTTGAAAAATGGCTATAACTGATGATGAGGCATAAATCTGTTTCATTGAGCTCTCATAATCTTATCCTATTTTTTTCCTTGCATGTTGAGGTAATTGTTGAATTAAGAATCGACAACAGGGCTCTGTCCCTGTCTTCAGTTGCAAGTGAAGAGTTCTAATTCTGATGGCACCAGTAACTATCTGATTGTACTTCCGTCTCCCCTAACATCTTAGTTATGTTTCCACCCAAAGTGTCTTTGTTGAATATGTATTCATGTATCTCCTCTGCTATCTCTGTAGCTCATGTCTCCTCTCTGGTGTTTCATCTGTGAGGGTTCTCCTCCCGGGGATCACATCTGATCTTTCTCTTTAGCATCAAGTCCACATCTCAAAGGCTGAAGATTCTTATATAGGAGGGTCCATATGACTAGTCCCTCTTCTTCCAAGTCTCGAAGAATGAAAGCTTACTCAAGTAGTTTCTTACCAACTGTTTATTCATAGATTGTGGAATGTGCTTCCTGCAAGATGACTGCTTCTAGAAGGTTTTAGTGTGCTCTAACCTGTTAACTATCTGTGTTCTACCTGAGAAATTTTCTAATTGCATCTTGATTGCATCATCTAACTGTCCATCTAGATACACTAATTAGCTTGACAGCTGGCCTTCTAGAAAGTGAGTGTGACAAGGCTGTCTCATAGGGCACATACAAAAAAATACACTAAATATTATTTCATTAATTAGGTTATTCATTTACATAAAATCCTTCTGCTGAGTGATGGTTCTGGAAAGGTTTCTAAGACTTGTTGATTTTCAGTCTATTTAAACTTTGTGTAGTATCTTATTTCCTGAAAAACATGTGATGGTTCTAAAAACAACTATGTTACATAAATATGAAATGGGATGAATTCGAAAGGAGTGAAAAAATAATAGAAATCTCTGGGCAGCCACTAGTATCACCAGTTATAAGACAGAGAAGCTGACCTTAAATGGGACACATTCTGAGAAGAGATGAACTGAGAATCACATAGCAGGCACTGGATTGGAAAATAGAGGGATTAAGGAAAACGAGAATGTCCAAGGGAAACCCTAAGGCAAACATTGATGAGAGAAGCCAAAGGTGCCAGACTGAGATTTCATCCATGATATTGAAGGGATTGCACAGGATACAATGCTCTATGTGACATATGGTGGCACAATAGGACAATGAACGAATGCTTGAATAATAGTCACACACAAAAAGGACTCATTCTTTTATCCATTCAAGCTAAATTAAAACCTAATTGAGTCTTGCTTCAGTACAGTCATTATAAACTTGTGCAGTTACTATTGTAGTAACCACTTGCACATAAAATCTGGTTCCTGTGTCTTGACAGTACTTAATGGTACTTGGGTTACACTAGACATTCTATCAGTACTTAAGACTTCCTGGGTTATCTAAGTCATGACTAAGACTGTCTAAAAGTACTTGATGGTACTTGGGTGACAGGAGACATGTTTGAGACAGGCATAACACTCTAATAACTAGTAAGGATTTTTAGGAATCTTAAAAATAGCAGCACACAGAAACTGAAGCTTCAGTACATGAGGCAAATGGTTTCACCACAGAGACCTTCTCTTGGTATAGAAGAATGTTAACTCTTTAACACCTTGATCACTTGGCCTTAACATAACTTTACCACAGCCCCTTAAGAGAGAAGCCCACATTTCACATCTGACCAGCTCTTTTGTAAGAAAGTCCATTACACAGTTTTTATGAAATAAACCATGAATTTATAGTTTGTGTTTGACTTATTTTTGTAAATTCATGTTTATGAGGTGACTGCCAGACCTGTGAATGCAGTGTGTGATTATACGTATGACTTTGGAGTGAGTCAACACTTGTCATATTGAAAAGTAAAGTAGTAAAGAGAAACAGGTGACTTTGGAGTGAGTTAAGACTGTCATATTGAAAAGTAAAGTAGTAAAGAGAAACAGGTGACTTTGCAGTGAGTTAACACTGTCAGGTTGAAAAGTAAAGTAGTAAAGGGAAAAGTGAGTTAACACTGTCAGGTTGAAAAGTAAAGTAGTCAAGGGAAACATGTGACTTTGGAGTGAGTTAACACTGTCTTATTAAAAAGTAAAGTAGTAAAGGGAAACATGTGACTTTGGAGTGAGTTAACACTTGTCATATTGAAAAGTAAAGTAGTAAAGGGAAACATGTGACTTTGGAGTGAGTTAACACTTGTCATATTGAAAAGTAAAGTAGTAAAGGGAAACATGTGACTTTGGAGTGAGTTAACACTTGTCATATTGAAAAGTAAAGTAGTAAAGGGAAACATGTGACTTTGGAGTGAGTTAACACTTGTCATATTGAAAAGTAAAGTAGTAAAGGGAAACATGTGACTTTGGAGTGAGTCAACACTTGTCATATTGAAAAGTAAAGTAGTAAAGGGAAACATGTGACTTTGGAGTGAGTTAACACTTGTCATATTGAAAAGTAAAGTAGTAAAGGGAAACATGTGACTTTGGAGTGAGTTAACACTTGTCATATTGAAAAGTAAAGTAGTAAAGGGAAACATGTGACTTTGGAGTGAGTTAACACTTGTCATATTGAAAAGTAAAGTAGTAAAGGGAAACATGTGACTTTGGAGTGAGTTAACACTGTCAGGTTGAAAAGTAAAGTAGTAAAGGACCCACCCACTTGGCGCATCAGGCAAATGTTTCTGGACCCATATTTTATAGACCCATTTGGTTATATTTGTGGCTTAGAACTTATAGGTGAAGTTTTGTAATTCTATCTTACCTGTGTTAGAAGTCAATGCAGAAAATTTGTATATTTGAACAACTGTTGTAAATCAAATAATTTTAAAAACATTGACAAACTACAGAACATACAATTGTCTAGTAAAGCCATAAAAAGTCACTAATGCTCGGGTTGTGTTTATGGCAAATCAAAAAATTATCTTCACGTCCATAGGCACATAAGGCTGACAAACTGTTGCCACTCAGTTTGATCCTGAGCCATCCTCTCTATCTCCAGTTTTGTCCTTGACGTAGCCTTGAGTTCAGCCTCAAAGGTTCGCTTCTGGGCCTGCCTGTTTCTCGCTGTCCTTGTGGTGTACATTGCATTGCCTGTCTCGGCCGTCTCTCTTTCTTCATTCTGAGTGCGTGTCCAGTCCACCTCCATCTTTGTTTTTTTTTAATTTCTAAATTTACATCTTCTAGGTCTATCATTTGTTGTAATCTAGAATTGCTGATTTGATCTTCCCATGTGTTTACGGCATCCTGTACTAATTAAGGATGTTTCCTTCATAGTTGGAGTGCAGGGCTTGAGAGGCAAGGAACCAACAGTCTGCTTACAAATAAGTCATATCTGTTAAATGCATGTGCACACAAAACTCAGTTTCCGGATTAATACCAAAGTCCACGAGTGAATGAACAACCCGGACTTTAGGTCGGTGTTTATATACCAGGGAACTTGAAGAAGAAGAAGAAAGTATTTTGTTGTTGTTCTGTCTTTTGGCTCCATCACTGGGTATTAGGGTTCCTGTGATGAATGTATTTATTTTTACTAAGGTTTTTAAAAAAATATAAAAGTGCACGTGTTAATCAGCCAGAATAGCAATTTGTCTCACTTCTGTATTTTCTCATTCAAATCTATTTCTTAAATGTTCATGTATTCTAGACAAAGCAATACAGTCTGCTGTGATTGCACATTGTTGCGGTGTTTGTTATTTGACCTATGCTTCGTTAAAATACATTTCTCTAACCTATGGTGCTATTTAAATGATTTGAGATGAATTCTGTCCGTATTCCATAATTGTTGATTTCAAGCTGTACGATAGACATGCCAACGAAGACACCTTTTCTTAGGGGTGCCTAGTTGGTTGTATTCTCAATAGCGAGGCGCACACGCCGTTTGGAAGTAACAAGTTCGATTCCCAAGGCCGGTAACTATTGCTTTCAATTTTTATGTTGTCTAGTGTGTCCTTCTACCTTTCTTCTCTTACTATTAGTGCCGATCAGTACATTGTCACTATTTTAATTATTTGTATTTTGCTGAAATATGTTTGTATAAATTTAATTTAATCTACTGGAAGTGTTATAGTTTTAATCCATCACTTGAAGGTAACAATTGTTTTGCACTATTTATGTGTGTACACATATCGTTATGTGATTGGATGTTCATACGGATTCTTTCCTGCATGTAAGAAAGCATCAGTACCTCTTTCTGCATTCATCATCTATTTATAACGTAAAGGCATATACAGAAAGAGGCAGGGATGTAGAACCCAAGGTAAAGCATGTGATGAAGTTTGATGCCTGTTTCTGTTCCACAGGCCAGTTTCTCTCAGAACAGTGTTTTTAGACTTTTGTTTATGTGATCCCCTTTTTTAAATATTATTTATTGTGACAATCTTCAATTTCACCCTCACCTTTCATCCTTCATTTAAATTCTGATGTCTGTAGCATTTCAGCTTTTCCTTTGAATTTGAGAAACTTCTATTTTCGGCCTTATTTCGGTATTTTGTGTCCCCCCAATGGCCTTGGCTTAAAGGCCAGTGAAATCATTTAAGAGTCCTTCTCAGACACTGGTGGGTGCTTGGGACAAATTATTTCTTGTGGTAAAAGAGTTTCACTATGGAAGAGACTGGTGCTTTAGCACATAATTCTCTTTTAAT